CACCTCACCCTTGGTTGAGCCGATACTTAACGTCTTCGGTGACTCTGATTGGATCACGGCTGAGATAAATCAGCGCAGATTCCTCATAAGGTGCAACTACAGTCCCCCACATATTGACAAAACTGAAATCCGACTTATCGCGGACATATTCAATTGCATGACAGACCATCCGGCTAAGTACAAATTAGTCGAAGGGGTCTTTAATATGGCAAAGTATCGTGGCACCCTTATACATCCCCACCTAAGTTGTCTGAGTTTCTAGCGACTATTTATTCACAAGGTTGATCACAGCACGTTTAGTCGCCAACACGAAATGACAACATTCTAGATCTTGTCTTCACTTTGGGAATTCTCGATGCTAATGTCAAGATCCTGGACAAACTTCCGGATAGTGATCCTAATGTGGTGTTATTCGATTGGACTATACCCACAAAAGCATCGAAGGCCGAGTACATTGATATATTCTACCGGTCATACCGTTCGATCAACTGAGACGCGCTCGCAACGCCAATAAGGTCAATGCAGTGGGATAGATTCTACCTCAGATGATGCCGCTAAAACTTTTTATCATAATATAAACCAGTGCTTAGATACTATCACTCCAGTTCTGCTAAAGAAACGCCCCAACACTACTGCGGACACTAGCGCCAGCATCCTTGCTAGACAAAAAATCAGCAAGCTGCTCAGCTGCTATAAAAAATCCCATGACTTCAACATACTATTTCATGTCCATAATGTAATCTGCAAGTTAGAATCTGGTCTAGCCGAGAGACAGTGTTATGAAGAACATCGAGCTCTTGCAGACTCACGTAGGCCGAAGGAGCTTATAAAGCTTCTCAGGAGGAGGATACAGATACGACTGTATCACGTCAATTGCAATCTCTACCTCCTCGTCAACGGATGATCCTATAGTCATTAGCAATCTTTTCAACGAGCACTTTCGTTCGTCCTTCAACTGCCATACAAATGACCAACACACCATACCGTCAAAACGGCTTCCAGACGGCACGTTGTGGACAGTGGACTTTCCCATAGCAGACCTAAGGAAATCGTTTGGCGACATGAAGCCGTCCCTTAACGGTGGTCCTGATGGCATTCCATCAGGTTTACAGATATACGGAGGTCCGGATATCCCTACTCATTTGCAGAAGATATTTACTTTGTCAATGAAAGCAAGCACTGTTCCGTATCACTGGAAACACGCTGACGTTGTACCAAGCTATAAAAGGGCTCAAAATGGGATGCTGCCCGATTAGCCATACTTCCTAAAACTATGGAGAGGATTATAAAGGCTACGACTTCTCAGTTTCTAAAATAAAGGAACCTAATCAGTGAATTACAACAGCTTTATTAAACAGGATTTTTGTAAGTCTTGCCAAATAGACTTTTGAAAGCACATCAAAAGCTCAGTCGACGGTGGTAACGCTCATTTTGTCATATTCCTCGACATGCAAAAGGCTTTTGAACAAGTGCCCCAGGGTAGGCTTTTGCAGGGTATGGCACTGTTGACCCTCTACTTTCTTGATTCTCCTCATACTTAACCGACAGAACCCAAGCAGTCAAGATAGGCAATCAAACATCAGGTCGCACCCCTGTAACAATTGGCGTAATTCCACGAAGCGTTCTGGGACCACTTCTCCTCTTGACGTAGATAAATGACATTTTTGACGTTATTGTATATGATAGGCCGTACATGTTTACAGACGATATAAAAGTTGTGTACACATTTAATCCCAGGAATCAAGAGTAGGTGTTTCAAAACATACGAACTGACCTGAATGTACTTGAAGTATGATGTTGTACTTCAAAAATGAATTTCTTTGTCAAGAAGATGAATGCCATCTCATACTAATGTGATATGAATATCCAACCGCTAACCTTTTTCGGTAAATCCTTAGCATATGGTAACCAAAAAGATACTTAGGGCTTCACTACTTCAGCAGCTTAAACTTCTCCGAACATATACAATACACTGTCACTAAACCAAGAAAAAATGCATTGTTTCTCAAACTCTTTACCTTAACAAATGCTAAACATACATTGTACAAGACTTGCACACGTCCACTGTTAGAGTACTGCTGTATGGTATTCGGTAATGCAAGACAGAGTGACACAGCGACACTAGAGCGCGTTCAGCGTGCTTTTACAAGACAGATCCTGGGCTCTACTCAGAGGTTAACATACTCTGAACGCTGTAAATTGCTGATGTTGTACCCAATATGGCAGGGCAGAATAAAACTAAACATATCGCTGCTTTTTGATGTAATTCATGGGCGCATTCATACACCTGGATACTCTCCCCAATTACAACACACTAAACTTTACCTTATCTGTATTAAAAATTGCACACTTACCATTGCTAAGTCGCGCATCAACATGCGGGCAAACTTTTTCCTCATTGAACTGGAATCGTCTATCACTGTCCATTAGGTCATGTAAATATCCTCACATGTTTCGTGTAAGGTTAGATACATTTCTCACAGTCCCAAAAGTTACGAAACTTTTCAAGCTGAATATCGCTGAGGGAGATTTATCAGAAGGGACCAAAGGGCATATAATGCATGTCCGTGATACCTCCCAGTGGTGCACTTGAGAGCTCCATTGATATCACAGAAGGCAAAAAAGAAAGAAAAAAGACCAAATTTTGATGTGCAATCTTTCAAACGTTATTACTTTCTCTCCTTACCTGGCCATACCAACCTCAAGGCCTCCATATCAATATGGTGGCTAAAGAGGGGCGTTAAGCCGAGTCCTCTTCTTAATTCATCCGACCAATGTTATACTTTTTCCTTACTCGGCCACGCCGACCTTGAGACTTTCATGCCCACATGGAAGTCGACGATAGAAAGTAAACCGAGTCCTCGTTTTCACTCCTTGGACCCTTGTCACATCCTCTCACTAACCGGCCATGCCTATCTCAAGGCCTCCATGACCACATAGATGCCTATGAAGAAGGTCAACCGAGTACTCATCCTCTTCTACCCGACGACTATTACACTATTCCTTTTCAATCATCTTGCAAAGAGCGATGGTTTCTATTGCTAACTCTGTCACAGATACGCATGCGCGCGTATCAAGGTACCATAAAAGATAGACCTGCTATGCGCCTACCCAAACCAGTGTTTGAGTACCGCCTCTGCTACAGATCCCGAAATAATAGCAGGCATATTGGCAATATATAGGAATACAAGCCTGACCCATTGTAATGAAAGACAATCTGGAATGTGATATCATTAGCTAACATGCATGCTTCCCCTACATATGTTTAATCACTATTTGCTGTTGATCACATTATTAATAACTTTGGCACATTTTCTTCATATTTTAAATTCGCTAAAACTGACATAATTACGGCAGTCTTCTCTGCGTGCAAATCGATTAACCTGTCTACCGTTCTATCTTTACAACAGGTCTCTTCCTCCGAGCCTCGTCCAAATGCTGCGGTGAAATCTTCCCATACGCCTGGATACTTGGCGTTTGGATTGCGTTCTGCTACATGATGAAACAATCAAGCTCAAGCCGCTCCCGGCTACTGCACTATAATAGCCTACACTGCGTGTCGAGCATATGTAAGCATTTGACCAACAAAAAATGCTACATTGCAATACCTTCGCAAACTAAAAATAAACATGTGATTGACACTGTTCTTCTAAAGCGTCTGGCTGACCGTTCTTTTTTCTACTTATCTGTATCAAAAATAAATTTGCGAAATACCTGTACAATTTGATCGGACAAACATACTGGTCCGTGTCTCGCACAGTCGAGAAATAAACAAATTTATTTACTTATTTAAGTTGATTTTTTAGGCTGCAGAAATTTCGCGGAATTATCGATTTCGATCGCGGAAAACATGTTTCACCACAGCGGAAAATTTGGGTCTTTAGTTATGAATCAAGGAACTATTGTAAGCACCATTCGAGAAGTAGTTTCAAGTGATGTAGTCAGGGTGAGAAAATTCCATGGGTATCGCCGTAGGTTGCGTGAATAGAGAAGGAGCATCTAACCGGATCCGCATCGACGTTACTCTGAATGGACGGATTTAGACTACTCTGCAGGTACTTGAGAAGGCCACTCTTCCTTCCTATTCACGCAGTTGTTATCTCTTGTGGACTTACGTACCTCGGCAAAGTCTGTGGAGTTGCTAGCAATCCCCTGCTAATGAATATAAAGTCACCCGAATCAGTTACATGCCTTGTATCTAGCGCAGCTGAGTCCTTGAACAACGTTCTGTATTCAGACTGGTTTTCCAGTGGTCGTGAAATGCGCCTCCTGTATCTTGAAAACCGTGTGCATAGCTCTCTCGCTGTTCGATCTAGATGCACGTGCACAGCACTCCTACAGTTGATTTTATGCACGTGGTTAGCTGTCCTGTCCGCGGAAAGTGGAACTCTCAAATGCACCGACTCTGGACATGTAGTATGGCCACATCTGAAGATCACATTTGTGTCAACTAAGTGCAGTAACCTCCGGATCGTTTCCGAGGATGATACACTTTGCGTGCCCTTCCAGTAATGTGTCAGCTGTACGCCGTAACGGCACGTCGCTGCCATACGACCACCACCAGTCGAAAGCGAGATGAGTATACCACGAGGACGCCCACCCCTACGCGGATTCGAACCCGCGCCGCAAGATTACGTGACACACTCGTTACCTCTAGGTTACGGGCAAGGTATTCCCTGCAGTACCCTACCAGGAATACGCTGCCAAAAATCGAGGAGTAACAGGAGACTTACACCAACGTTTGGGCGTTGTATTTGTGGGCCGTGGTTCGTCTGTAGCACGGGATGTACCTTCGATGAGCATAAAAGAAAGCAGTCAAACACAGCGAGCAATAGAAGTGGGTGAACAGGTGCGTACATAGCAGCTTCAAGCATGAAGTCCTCTATGTGAAAGTACTGTGAGTAAAAGTGCATAACAATCTGCAATCCAGTATGGCGACCCGCGCAGTCACATACGGCTCAAGTCGCTGCTGCATGAAAGGATAGTGGCAGTATCCAAATCTGGAAGAAGCCGAGGGAAATGCACGACAGACGTTTCCCCTAACATGTGGTGGCCGTCGGACTGAGACGAGTTGCAACAATTTCATCGAAAAACATGAAAGCAATGGTGGATTAAAGTACTATATCATAATAAGTCCAAACGAGATGAAAGTGAACCGAGACGAGACAAAAGTATTGAAGTAAAATCAATGGTAACAAAATGAGGTAAAGACAACGAAAACTTTTCAAAAAACCACTAAAAGTTACCAACAGAGGAAACGAAAATGCATGTATGCAACCAGTTTAAACTGTGAAAGTGGAATGCGATCACAATAGCTAGAAAAATGCGATGCATGTGATGTAGACCGGTCATAAGCATGGCACGGACATGAGATAACACGATTCGGAATATGTTATGTTATGGGGGAACACATGAAATGCGATGTCCAGAGTGCCAGGGCGGAAAAATTTTCACTCAGTTCTTGGCGTCATTTCCGCTAAGCGATGAAGCAATTGCCGGAATCTAAAAAAAATGAGAAAGAAGAGATTTTAGGAACAAATCATTTATTCTGCATCAAGTAAAGCTGTGCAACTCCGAGAAGATGAAAAAGCCCGCAAACAGTGTTCTGAACTAGTTACGTACTTAGCGATGGAAATCGTTCCTCCGGCGACTGTCCCTGCCCTCTTCACGGAGGTAACAGGTACAACAGCTTAGTACAAGACGCATCACCTCATATTTGGTAAGCCGGTCAGGTGGGCCGCCTCGACTGGTGTCTATAACCATGTGGCATAAAGAACCGGTGGCTACCATTTGTTTCATGGGCTGGAATTTTGCGGGATTCGTTTAAAATGCACACTGATGACGAATGCAAATGGAGCGAAATGACCATGACCACATGTGTGGTAGTTGTAAATATGAGTGTAACCACGGCCCCGTGAACCTACAACTGCTGCTGCTCATCAGAGCTGAGAACCTACCAGCGAGGGTTCCAAACTCAAATGGTACGATATCGAGGAAAACGAGCTTGCGCAAACCTTCGCCTGTAATGGACGTTAATGAACCGGACGATGATATAGAGGTGCGTACAACAGTTGATGTGTAGATAAAAGGAAACTTGTACATGATTTTGCACAATGACCCTCACAAAAAATAAGTTACCGCAAAGTTCACATGTGTATGAGTGTTGTTTCGAATGTACTGCGTCAAGATATCTTCGTAACTTTGTCATCTGAGAGAACCCTGTGCCATAATGCTCGTATCTGTGGGACTGCTCTTTCAAGTGAATAGATTCTACCTGTATGCGAAGGCAGGACTTTAGGGAAAATGATTTACCCCAGTATTCACGTGTGATCTTGTTGCCCCAAATGAACAGAAAGGATGTTCGTTTGCAAACTGTCCTGTCTGGGAAACGATGCACTACAAAAATCATATGTATGGGAGTGCTTTTTTCAAACGAGCAGAATTAATATGCTTTTACAAATTGCCCTTACTAGGAAACGGATAATCACAGCTGCCACACGCATGGGGATGTTTATCTTGTTCGGAAGCAGCGGGTGCCCGCAATTCCTCAGTCGCGGATCTGTAACACTCGTTCAATGAGTTCGCAGGTGCATTTTGTTCAACTTCGAACGACCAATCGGGAGTATACCACCCTTTGGCATGCACTGCATCTTTAACTCACACAGATACTGATGTCCTCTCCGCATGGGGAGGTCGGTAACGGTTGTGCCGCTCTAAGGTCGGACTTCAGGTTATCCGTAACTCGGACGGATCATGCAGCAGAAAGGTACACAGAAAGCACATATGGACTGGGCAGTACACTAACTTCCACAGCGCAGTACCACTACAGCATAAGCGGAGTTTGATCAGATCTCTCACCTTCCGGGCGCGCAGTATTTGTACACCGGATACTGTCAACGAAGAACTACAGAGAATTAGCGACGCCCTGAGGGAAAATGGTTACCCTGATAAATTTATCATGAAACATTTGAAGGAACGCAATCGAAAGCCACTTAGGAGCATTGCTCCTAAAAAGAGCTTTTCATACATATGCCCTTTAAGTGCGATTCTGCAGCTGATATGTTATCCAGACGCCTGAAAGACGCTGTCGAGAAAACTTATTTCGCGGCCCGGCTGAGAATCGTTTTTCACAACAAGCCGTTGCTTACGAAACCCTTGAAGGATAGACTACCGTCGTTGACCCGTTCAATGATCATTTATCAGTACTCGTGCTCCTGTGGTGCACGATATGTGGGTCGCACGACAAGACGCCTATCTCAGAGGATTCGTGAACACATCCCGGCATGGCTTTACAAAGGCGAAATGAGGTCTTCAGACAGCTCAATCATGTCGCACCTCCTTGAATGTGGCCACACAGCTTCAGAGAATGACTTCAAAGTCATTTATTCACTACCTGAACACTACACCCAAGGATTCCGCAAACAGCTCTTATCCATCGCCGAGGCTATCTACATTCACCATCTGAAGCCGGAATTATGTATACAAAAACGATTCATACGGCCGATACTACTACCTTGGCCAACGGACACTGTTACTTAGTTATTTGGCTGTTCTTTTACCTACTTAATTACTTTGGACTACTGAGCTTTGCGTATGTATGTGTATTTAGTTTACTTGGTTTACCATCGCTATCTATGTCTCAAGTTATCGATTTTGATCATTCAAACAGTCCAGAAGTAAATCCCAGCCCGAGTTGACGCTTACCCCACAGTATCAGTGTTTTGTAAACGTTTGGGTCTGATGAGAGTTACCGAAAAGAATTCTTCACCCGGAACTGATTTCTGATATTGATTCATATTAATGGAATGGGAATCTTTGCTTTGCTGAAGACCAGCATTGCCCGTGATTCATTGAAACTCTAGAATGCAAGGTCCCAAAGGTTAACTTAGCTGTGGGATCTAGCCAGCATTGTCCCTAATCTCCACCGTAGACGGCACACATTCTTGTTTATTACGCCCAAAGATTTTGAAGTCTTCAAATTGTTCCATACCTATGAAATACGGATGTAGATTGAGGTCCTCCATGGGACAGCCCGTTTGACGGGGATTCAAAGAAAGGAAACTGGTTAGGCTGCTGGGTTCAGTAGCACTAAGGTTCGCAGTAGTATCCGGTCCCTGAAACAGCTGGTTATTTAGAGAAAGTCCCTTGTGTTTCGCAGCACAAGCAAATACCACACTAAGAGTATGTCCGGACTCTTCGGATTGATGACAGCGTGGTGCGGCAGGTACCACCTCGGTTTATAGTCGGGCTGCAACTGGTCGAACGGCAGAGGACCTGCGTAGCCCTTAGCAATGTTTGCCTACACTGCGACAGATCATTTAGTGATCGCTGCAGCCTACGCCGAGCGGACTCGTAATTGTTGGGGATCCTGCAGCCCCGATTTCCCCATGGCAATGCAATCTCAAAGTGTCCATCTACTTAGCGCACAAAGCTTTTACCATCCACAGAAAGAGACCGACTGCTAGAACCAGAGCTTTCAAAGCCATTAGCAAACAAGATGTTGAGCTGATCAAGCGCTGCTGTGGAGCTCTGGCCTAGTGACAAAGACGAAAGCCGTCAACCACTGCGTTGTGCTCACCTCTCAGCTCAAGCTATCTCTAACTGACGAGTCCAAATCAGGACGAAAGCGAATGGTTGTGGAGCGCAGTTTTGGGAGAAAGCAGTTCCCAAGCTCTCCATCTTGAGCCGACCTTCAAGTGATAAGTCATCTTACTGCACAAGATTTACGGAAACATATTGCCCATTACTCTTGTCAACTGGTCCCATCAACGTCCAACCGAGTAGAGTTCACGCGGCAAATGGGCGCTTTCTCCCCCTATCTTGCCGTTCAAGCTGCCAGTGAGCTTCAGGGACATCCGCCCGCAAAAGTATCCGGACTTTAGATCTCTCAGATAAACGAAATGGTCATCAGACAAATGGGGCCATTGACATGCTATCTGACTGACGCGAAATGCCACAGGTTTCAAGGTTAGGCAACTCAAACAGTAGACACGTTCTATAGAAATAACATCTAATCCCCCTAAAGAAGATAACCAGAAATTGCGGAGGCCAAAATCCAGAGAGGTAAAGCATTCACTGTTGGCATTTACAACGAAGCAGGCTCAATCTTCACTCCTGGCTCCCGAAGAATGTCCTCCTGAACCAAGATTATGTCAGATGCACTGTCAAGCAAAGCATAAATCTCAACAGTTCGCAAGGAACCTACCAAACGCAGAGGTACGACTCTAAGCGATACCCTTACTGGAGTGCTAGAAGAAGTATGAAAGCTGTTTGGCTCCTGGGGAATACTCGATGTCCCTTTGGCAGGAAGTAGGGAGTGGCGTCGCCCCTTACAGGTGAGCAAAACGCAACCCTCTGTTGCGACAACCGGCGGCGCGGTGACCCATCTTCAGGCACTTTAAAGCATACACCCAGTGACCAGTAAGGTTCAAAGAGATGGACTTCGGGAATGACTCCATACTGTGGTCCCTTTCACAAATCAGACATACTGATTACTTGGACTGTCCTAGTGCAGTGTATAGAGCAAAGTTACGACCAGTCCCCTTATCAACCAACCGTTGCGAAAGAGTTTCGTTGTCGCAGTGCACTTCTAATTGCTATCTGACAAAATCTACTACGAACTTGAGCTTTCGTGGCAACGAAATATGCCAAATCCGTAAGAACAACTTGTCCTCCTTCTTGAACAACAGTACCGACCATTCCGGCCCATCTGGACTGCAGTGGCTGTAGAATTTAACTCAGCAAACAGTTTCATTTGAGATAAAGCTATGTAATAGCTCTCCGATTTCAGGGATAGGCGCGACAAGGTGTTACAGTGATCGGCAAGAGGTTTCGAACCAGCAAGTAGCCAATCGAACAATGCCCTGGCCACTACGTGACATTGGCCGAAGAGATCGCGAAGAATGTCTTTGGCGCGATCATAATCCTGATCAGGCGGCAGCATTATGCATTCGCTGATAGCGTCCTCAGCGCGACCCGTGCAATAGTAGATCAAGCAAATCAACCGTTGACCGCTATCACTAACGGGACTTTCTACAAAGCATTCGAACTGTTATACAAACTTCCAATACGTTGCTGGATTCCCATCAAAAAACTACAGTTCCACCTTTGGTAAATCCACTAAGGAATGGCATAGGAAAAGGGGAAGGATAGAAGTTAATGGTTGTTATCGGCAACAAACAATTCGCATGTGTATCCACCCTAACAGTAATGCAGTGTCCCTTTACTTAATGGCCACGTTTGTCCTTGCCCAACCGCAGTTTTACACTCATGAGGCCACCACATACAGTGATTCACCGATGCGCGCGTTTGACAACAATATTCTTCTGACTGACCTTATGATGCACTCCCAAATGCCACCACGGTGACTGGCCATTGGTGGATTGAAATGCCATTGCACTCCGGGACTCAGAAGTTTGTCATTGATTCTCCCTTGCGACTATTCCTTCAAAGCGGAACGCAGCTCAGCAACTACAAATACGAAAGTGCCCCCCATTGTCGCT